CTTTGCCTTATGCAGTTGGCAGAGTTGGGACTCCAACCCAGACCTTTCTGGTTCCAAAGTGGATATTTTAATCTATGGCACTTTTATCTCACCCCAAGGGATATTTTCACAAATCCCCATGCATTAATTCACTCATGCATTAAACAGATGTTGCTGAGTAGAGTCATTTTCTATTGATGTTATAGGAAATAGCACAAACTCAGTGACTTAAAACAGCACATGTGTGCTCTTTCAGAGTTTTGTAGTTTTGTAGATCAGAAGTACAACATGATTCTCTTTGGGCTGAAGTCAACCGGTCATTTGTCTGCCAACCTTGAGGAGGTTCTAGTGAGGAATTCCTTACTTAATCTAAAGTATGCCTGTGTTCTTTCTATCATCCAAAGCCCAGGGCATGGCTTCACCAAGTCTTTCTTTTTGAGTACAACCAGGAAACATTGTGTTCTTTTAAAGATTCATGTGATTAGATAATATATTCACAAGAAATGGCACAGGATTGTAAGATAGTTTCTTAAGATTAGTGCATCAAGATCTTTGGGGGGCTGATATTCTTCCTATCATCAGACCTACCCCATGGCAAAGATTGGTCCATAAGATAAAAGGAGAAAGATAATAAACAAATACATAAGTGTGTATTCAGGATAATTTCAAACAGCCATGTACTTCCATATAACATAGTTCAGTGCTTTACCTCCCCCCACCACGCAGTTCACCCTTCCTTCCTGCAGTGTAAAAAGGTTTCTATGCATTTCAGATAGAGCAGTGAATGAACAGAGGTTCTGTTCCAATGGAATATCCTAGTGGAAGGAAGCACAAACAATGGAGAACACTATTGCTCAGAGTGACAAATGTTTTGAAAAAATATTCTATTCTCTGTCCCATGTCCTTTTGCCTTCCCTCCCCACTTGTTCTTTAGTTAGTCTAGTCTTTATTGAGTGCCTCCTGTGAGTCAGGCACAAGGCTTTTATAAGGAACGACCAAATTAATTTCTATATCTTCACTATAGTGAAGAAAACAACAACGATAAATAATAACCACACACAGTGGCAAGTGTTCTGAGAGAATGAACAAGGTTCTTTGAAAGCACATAGCAAGATTGCCTATGTTGTCCCCTAAATCTAGGCTAGTTCCCTACAACATCCTCGGATTCCCTTTGCCTATATCACTTGTGTTCATCCTTCAGGATCAAACCTTGGAGAGTTCTTCCTTGAAGAAATTTAAGGCAGATAGTAGGCATTTAACAAATATTTGTGCGCCTTCTTATGTAGTAATAATAATATTCTTTTATGTAGTATATTTTGTCAATTTGACCAAAAGATCAGTGCTTAATACAGCAAGTCACACAATATATTTACAGAATAATAGAGGCATTATGACTATAGAGTAGTAAAGGTACACTAGTTTGCAAAGTCCCTGTGTATATGTGTTAATTATTACATATGTTTATAGAAGCAAAGAGAAACATCAAAAGAAATACACACCAGGATAGTAACAGGTAGCAAATGATCAGTTCTGGCTTTCTGCCCATTATTACTAGTATAAATTCATGGAATGGGTGGATATGGACAGCTAAGGTGGTCAAAGGAGTTAGTCTGTAAGGTAGTGAGTAACTGCAGACCCCCATGTAATGAGGCAATACCATTCTGCTCAAATCATGCTTTCTTCTGTTTGTGTTTATTGGAACTCATTTTGGCATCTGGTTAACCTAGATGGTTTCATAAGTAAATTAGAAACAAGAGCGCATACATAATCAATTCCTGTCCTGTAAGCCAGTTTACACAATAGATTATCATGCCATAACTTCCTCTTCTGCAGATTAGCAATAATAGACTTTCTGTAAAGATAATATAATTAGACTGGTTAAAAGGCACCTGTTTTCATAAAATGCTAGAGAGTTGCCAAGTGCAAATGAAAATTCTCTAATTTTTGTTTGCTACATTCATGGTGATTATGCTTCAAAATATGTGTACTTTTGCAAATCATCGTTATGGTCCACCTAAATGTTATGTCCTTGTCTTGTAAAACTCCTATAACCTTTGCCATCCTCACATTTCTGGAAATTCTTTGACTTTCCACACTATGTTCTGAGTTTGGACATTAACCTTGGATTTGGTGGAAAAAAGCCAAACCTGAGATATTTCTAACAGAGGCACATTTTCATTAGTGTGCATTGAGGGTTCCATGTAAGCCTATTTGGTTCATTAGGGTAATTTAGAAAGTGAGTCAACATTGAACTTGTGACAGCTATAGGCCAAGGTAAGAGGTTTGCATGGACCATCCCACATGACACAGTAAATATAAGTCATATCTGAGATGGCCTTCAGGGAAGAAAGGCAAGCATTTACCAAAGCCACGGAGATTCTGCTGAGATTTTGCACTCCTTCCCACTTCTCCCTAATTATGGAGCATAACTATTGAGGTGTCCTTCTGCCCGTGTTGCTTAATACCAGCTCTCTTGCATTTCCTCATACTTACATTAAGTTGGTCATTTCCTCCTCAAAAGAAATCAGTGAAGAGAAAGGGAGGAAAGTAAAAGCTACTGACATGCTTAAGATCCAGATGCTTCATTGATTCCATTTCTTTGTCAACAATGCTACCTCAAAAATAAAGTTGTATGGTTCATAAGCTTTATTTTGATTCATTTTTTCATTATAAAATGAAGGTAATTATAATATGTAATTTATATGGTTACTTTAAAGTTTAATAAGATAAAAATCTAAAAATCCTTGCCCTGGACAGCAATAAATTACTAAGAATAGCTACAACAAATATTAATAGAATTCATATTATTCAATTATCCATGTTCATTTTATCTTAATAAGTATTGGTTATCTTTAGAGTTTGGACAGATGTAAAGCAATGCAAAAGCAAGGAGTCATCAACTAACATTGTGGAGGGGTTAAAAAGAGGAGTCCAACAAGCCGCCCAAATTCTATGCTCCATTCATAAAAGAAAGTACCCTATTAGCAGCATCACTACCCACCTATGCTGGCCTGACCCACCTGCTATTCCTGTGAGCAGAATTCTTTAACATTTTCTCTCACAATAACGATAGTATCTTTAGCTGTTTCCCATCTCTTTGGGTTTCCTTGTCATCTGTACTTACCCCCCATAACTGAAATTACTGAACCCTCTGAGCACAGGCTTAGAATACACAGACTTTTCTCCGAATGTCAGACAGACGTGATTCCTTTCCCATTTTAATTTCTTTAAGAATATTGAGACCTGTGATGAATTGCAAGGGGCTAGAACTTGGCCAGAGAGAAGACTCTATCATTTGGAATGTTTACATACATACAACTTCTTCTGGCAGTTAATGGACTGCAGCTTTGGCCTGAAAAAAAAAAAAAAGAGAAAAAAAGATAATTACTGAATTTCACAGCATTCTAAAAGGGTTGTTATGAATGAAGAGCTTAAACACTGATTCCTACTCTCCTAGGCAAATGTATTTTTTATTACACTCAGGATAATAGTTGGTGATTATATCAATTTCTAAAGTATTTTTCTGAGTGTAATAAAAATACAACATATATTTATCAGTACTCTATATTTACTGATATTAACACCATACAATCTAATTGTACTGTCAAAGCCCCCTCTTGTATATTGCCTTTGTTGACTTGAGTAATAACTGACACTTTAATTTGAAGTCAACAGATTTGCTTATAGAGTAATAGAGGAAATCAGATAGGAAGAAGGACCCGATTACTCCTGAGCATGCTGTCTTACAACCTGAATGATCATTCACTGCAACCAATCAACATTGCATGTGCCTTACTAGCATTTCACGTCACAATTTCAGATAACAACATAAAAGCAAGTCCTGGTTCTGCTCCCGGCCTTGATACCTTCTTCACAGTAACAGTGACTTGGTAGTACTCTCCATTTAATTTTTCTTGTTATAGTTACAATTCTGATTTTATCAAGTATTTATCCTCATCATATAGCATGTAAAAATGAAAGCAGTATAAACACCACCAATTTCCCCTTTTAACAATGATGTTGATATTGATCTAAAATGTAAATTCAGGTGAAGTGAGAAAAGATGCATGAAAAGTGCGGGGAGTGGACAGGTGGCTCGGTAGCTGAGTGTGTCTGGCATACCACTCTAGTTTGATTCCCAAGCAACCATGCCAGGCAGCTCAGAACTGCCTGTAACTCCAGCTCAAGGGGAACTGATGCCTCTGGCCTTTATGGGCTCTTGCCCTCACGCACACATACCCATATGCAAACACATAATTTTGAAAAATGAATCTTTGGGGTTTGAGAGATGGTTCAGTGATTGAGAGTGTGAACTGCTTTTGCAGAGGACCCAAGTTCAGTTTCCAGCATCCACAATGGGCTGTTCACAGCGGCCTAGGACTCTAACTGCTGGGATCTGATGCCTTCTTCTGCCTTCTGAGGACACCTGCCCTCACATATACATGTACCTCCACACAAACATACAATTAAAAATTAAAATTTAAATCTTAAAGTGTTGTGAGGGGAGGCTGCCTGGAATATCTGGGCTCAGTGCTCCTAGATTATTAATAATGTTGCATAAGAATTGGTCATTAGTAAGAAATGGGTATATTGGATAAATAACATTATTTGCTGCTCTTAAATTCTATGTGTAAGAAATGTTCATCAAAAATGTCATGGCAGATGTGGTGGTGCCTGCATATAAACCCTGAACTCAGTAGACAGAGGCCAAAGGATTCCAAATTCAAGGCCAGCTATGACTAATTACAGAATGGGAAGCCATAGCACAAAGCAAACAAAATTTTTTAAAAAACATTCAAGAATCTAGAGTTGTTTTAGGAAGACCAACTCTTCCTCATCCAGCAGTAATCAGTTGCCAATATAAAAAAAAGTAAAATGCAAGAATCATAAACTATATTTAATGGTTGGAACTATATAGGCATATATATAGCCTATTAATATATTTGTGTCTAAAGATAGTATTTTGTGTGTATCTAAAGCAAATGCCTTTGTGAAAGGTTTTGTTCTTCTTACTATTTCAGATGTACATTACGAACACAATCAAAGCCAAAGGAACCAGACTTGCTAAGCCCGTTCTATGCTTGGGATTGATGTGTTTGGCCTTTCTTACTGGACTCAACAGGGTAGCAGAATATCGAAATCACTGGTCAGATGTGATAGCAGGCTTTCTAGTTGGGATATCTATAGCAGTATTTCTGGTAAGTACATTTTTAAAGATGTTTTTGAGTCTTAAATAGACTTGAATAACCATTTCTAAGAAATCCAAGGTTGACTCGCTCTGTCTAAATGCGATACATTATTACATGATAGTATACATGTTTTAAGTTATTAATTTCTCCTTTCTTACTCATTCCTCCTCAAATGAGACATTTTTTGAGACAGAATCTCACTATGTAGCCCCAGTTGACCTGGAACTCTATAGGTAGACCAGGTTGGCCTTGAACTCATTGAGATCTACCTGCTTCTCCCTCCTGAGTGCTGAGATTAAAGTCGTGTATTACTATGCTCGGGTTAGTATTTTTTCACCACGAGTGTGAGGTCAGAGGACAACCTGCAGGAGTAGGTATTTTCCTTCCACCCTCTACCATGTGGGTTTGGGGGATTGAATTCAGGTTGTTCAGACTTGGCAGTAATGCTTTGACCCACTGAGCCATCCTGCTAGTTACCCCTCAAATACTTTTGAAAACTGGATTGTTTGGACATTTTTTAAGTTTCTCTAGGATGATTTGCATCTAGATTATCTAAAACATCCATCCTAAAGGATCCAAGTGCTAAGTGCCTTAAATCTGTGCTCTCCATGAGGTAAGTTCCACAAGTGCTCACACAGCATAGTATTATAAAATGGATCACTTCATTTCGGTAATTCGGCACAGACAGTTTTTCAAGACTCTACCATCTCCAAGCATATTTTAGCACACAATGAAGAGCATGCACAGACACCTGCAATGAAGTCAGCCTGTCATCTGAACTCCTAGCATAAAATACACTTGGAATATATAGTATTGGGTGTTGGAAGCTTTTAGTCTGAGTTTCGAGTTAATCCGTCCATTATATGTGTGGGTGTATGACATTTTACCTAGATACATCATATAGCATGTAAAAATGAAATACAAAGTGTACAATGAGATACAAGTGTATAGATTCTAAATCAAAAGGCTTTTACTTGAGCACATTAGAATTTAAGAAACACTTTACTTCCATTTGTCTTTATTTGAGTTTTCTTATACTACCTCAGCCTCCTTTCACTAGTTAATAACCAGTTAAACAAAAAACATATGTAAACCTTTCCATTACATGTTTGAGCACAATTTATGTGCCTGGAATTTGAAGCAGATTTTTTCCTCTCGAGTTTAATACAGAAAAGTGATAAGCATGACTTCCTGTCTGAGCTACATCCTGGGCTTCATGTTCCTTTCCTTTTTTTCCCTGAACTATCATTCACTGTTGATTCTCAACATCGAGAGATAGACTCCAAAGTTTAAAAAAAGCCTGTGTTGAGTTGTATAGAATAATTAAAATTAGTTCCTAATGCCACTCCTGACCACAGGCATAGGTTACATGTATAAGCTAGATGAAAGAACCTGATTGGCTACAGTCAAAATTTGCCTTTTATGGAAGTATTTTGGCAGCTACACCCTGATTGGCTAAAGATTCAGCTCCTGTAATGGCTGAGATTCAGTTGCTTGGTTGCAGGGTGCACACCTAGTTTAAGTACAGTTTGTTTACTGTTGAGTCTTGCAGGCTCTTTTGGCTAAATTTAATCAGCCAAGTACAGCAACAGATTTGGGCTAAAATTACCATTTTAATACCTCTATCTCTTTGAAATATTTTGCAGTCTCATAAAACTAGGGTCCAAAGTTACATCAAAACCTTTTCTTTGCTTTCAGTCACCACAGTTGAAACTTGTTAACATTTTTTTTTTTTTTTAAAAAAAAAGAAAAAGAAAATAAAAATCCTACACAAATCCCATGGAAATAATCATGGTATGAGATGTCACTACATTTCACCTCCCTAAAACCAGAACATCTCTGGCACCTCATCAGCCTTGATCTCTCTCTCTCCTGGGGTCTTGCCCTCTTCCTGTACTTACAGGGACCATCTTACTGCCTTACCCTGAACCTTTTAAACCAGAACCCTAGGGACTTCTCAGAAACATCCCTGTTAGAGAACTTGGTGAATGAAGAGCTGGACTGCAGGTCTCCCCTGAGCTCAAGATCCTCCATTGTGTATATTCAAACCCAAGAATATGTGTCATGCACATTTCCAAGATTTCTTTTTAAACATTATGACACATAGAAGAATACAACTCCTTGAAAAGGTCAAACAAAAAATGATTTAATCATGAAACTACGTATGCATTCTGTATTCATTCATGATCATTCTTAAGTGTGAGTGTCCACATTCACATGAGCATGACCTGTCAAACTTAAGGTTCTAGTTTGAAGGTTTATTCCCTTACATTCTTTTTTCCTCTCTCCTATAATCAAAATGAACATTGCCAAGTTTCTAATCCAAGTACTGTGCTCAGTGTTACAAGTAAATACACGAAAAAGATATAGTTAATATACTTAAATTCATTACAATCTGGTAAAAAAAAAGCATGAAGTTTTATAGACAATTATATGTAATCGACTAATCAATACTCAAGATATTAACTCTTTTGGGATTAGGTAAAAAATCAGTAAGGGGAGGTGGTTTTTAACTTGGGAAGCATATAAAGTAGATAGTCTAGGCTCTGCATAAAGAATGAGAAGCATAGAGCGCAGGGTACAGCAATGATATGAAAGGCTGTGCAGAACAGCAAGCATAGAGCCTTCATCACACTGCAGGCCAAGATACAGCTTGTGCATGAGAAAGCATGGTGTCCTGGGATAATGCCTGTCTTCCAGCATTAGTGACAAGAAGGAGGAGCTCTGAAAGGACCTCAGTGGCCTGTCCTGATTGGCTTTGCATGTCAGGAGAAAATTGTGGACTTTTGTTTAAGCTGGAGATGAATTAGGAAGCACTACCTTCAAATAGTTTGAAACAAAACAAGCTTGTTTGAGTCCCGGCTTTTTAGGTGCTCAGTTTGTACTGTTGAGTATTGTACAGAGCTTTTCTGAGCCCCATTTTCTCTCTTTAAATGAGGATGAGCACAGCATCCCTAAAGGATCATTCTTGGACTCACAGAACGTTCAACAAAATAGTGCATGTTAAGTGAATGGCCACAGGAATGACTGAAATAAATTCCATAAATGATTGTTTGGTTTCTCTCATTATCTTTTACCTTATCAGATTTCTGCTTTGAAAATATATTTTGTGGGGAATAAAACTGCAGGTGAGTGTACAGGAGACTTGTTATGTGGAACCAGGGAAATAAAATAGCATGAACTGGACCACGAGGTCACAGAGATAGGGGAGAGTCTCCAGGAGGAATGGGGGGAAAGGGAGCCTGAAGGAACGTGGGTGATACAGATGGAGTAGAAGGGCAATCTGTGATGACTCCTGGCTTTGTCATTTGGGCAGCTCGGTAGAGCATTTATTTTGAGTAATGACTCCAGTTCATTGCAATGTCCTGAATTGTTTCTAATTATCCTGAAGTATTTTCAGGATTCTAAAATGAGTCTCCCAAAAAGTTACATTAGTCTACTCCAAATCTCTATCTTTGTTGAAGGACAAAGACACCTACTGTCACCCACAATCTATACCTAGCATTTGCCTCTGACTCATTCTTCTGGTTCATCCCCCACAACCAGAGTCATCGAATTCATTTCTACCACTCAAACTATCTCTTCATTGTTTTATATCTGTTCTTCTGCCCAGAACTTCTTGCTTCTTATCTCTACTACATCGACAGTGCCCTGTTGCTTCTTTACTTCAGAATTAATTCCTCACACCACCACTAGGCTGCCTCTGTGCATATTGTAAACATTCATTGCTAAAAACAAGCCAAAACAAAAGCTTCTGTGCTGCACCACCCCCAGACACTTCCACTCACGTCTGGGGTCCCCACTGATCTGGTTCCTTTCTTGTTCATGAAATTTGTTTTCCCTTTTCACCATGTCTATAAATCTTGCTCTTGGAATACCATCAGCCCATCAGCTTCCTTACCCGTTCACAAACAAACTTTGTCCTTCTCACAGATTTGCTTCTGTGGGAATTCCCTTCCTTTTGCATATTTTAGCTGTAAGAAAAAGGAATATAAGAGTCCTTCCTGACTTTGCTTAGATGTGGCCTGCACAAATCACTCATTCCAAAATAGTGAGGCCTTCCACAAGCAATACTCAGAGCATCTCTCCAGCCCCCACGAAGGCTCCACTCCTTGGTCCCTTTACTTTTCTCCATAGCTCATTTCAACTCCCACTTACCATATCTAATGTGTCTGTTTGCTGTCCTTCTCTTGCGGTTAAGAGCTCTGTGGAGAAGTCATCCTGTTCATTTTGTTCACTGCTTATCTATTTGAGTATCTAGAACAGGGTCCACTACACCAGAGGTACTCAAAAAAAATTCAATGAATGAATAATTAACTACTGATTTTGCTTCTCAAAGATCTTTGAAAGACTATATGAATCCCCACATGTAGAAGTGCAGCCTCATTCCTGGTGCAAAGATCTCTGATTATCATGGTTCCCACCTCTTACAATTACATTCAGATTTTTACATACCTGAGATTTGACTCAACCAAATCCCAATTTTCTAAGACAATAGCCCTGATTATCTAGTACTCCCATTTCCCCCCCTTAATTTCTACCATACTCTCAGTCTATCCTGTTACCATCTTAAAAGGAATTATAGTGAATTCCAAATCGATCACTCATCCCATGTACATTTTGCTCAAGGATAAAGAGCAGACTCCTCATGCTTAGAAAAATGAGAAAAAAATATTTCTTAAGCAACAGTTGTCAATTGATTAGAATTATTTTTATAAAATACATAACTTAAAACTCTTCCAAAATGATACATATTGCATTTTTATGTTGAAGAGCTCAAGTTTATAGACCCACAGCAATGGCTCGTCATGTTATTTTATGTAAGAATAATAATCCTCACAGCACCTCACTGAGATGTATCACCCACATTTTTGCAAAATTATGAGTCTTAGTTATATTAAATAGCTTGCTATGACATTTGTTTACAAAGATAATATGTGAGGGACCCAGAATTAAAACAAAGTTTGTTTGACTCCCCAAAGTCCATAATGCAATAATGGAACAAAGAAGAATAATGAACACAAATGAATCAAATAAATACATTATTAATGCCGGATAAAGAAACTAAAATTATGTGTGTGTGGTGGTTCACTGATGTAATCTTTGTAAGAGAGGGTAGACTTACGCATGAAGACCAAAAATAGAATATTTCAAAGAAATAACTTTAAGTTAGAGAAACACCGAGAATATTTGACCTGAATGTGTGTTCCTTTATCAGTGTGCCCAGTCATTGATCATTTTAATCACTGTGACAGAAAGAATACAATGGCAACAACAACCATAACCAATACATGATTTCATACTGAAATTTGTTCTCTGATAAACAGAATTACGGCTCCATGTGAGCACAAGGCAAACGAACACACAAAACCAAGGAGGTTTCTTTGTTGTGTGCTTAGGCAAGAATTCCATAAGTGAGGTTGAGGTGACACACCAAGATTGAGCTAGAGGTGAAGACTAATCCAAACAGGAAGGAGAAAAATGTGGATCAGCATTCACAAGTGAAGAACGCTGGGAAGCCACACCACAAAATGGATTAAAAGGATGAAGTGACCAACTTCTAGTTAGAAAGATCATTCTTCTCTCATCATAGAAAATAGAACAAAGAGGGTAAGATTGCATTTAAGGGGTCAGTTGAGAAAGCTATGCAGGAAAGGTAAGAGGTGGCTGCTTGTTTTTGGAGTTGGTGTTGGAGATAGAATAAAGACCTCGGAGTTCTTAAGGGAATAACATTAGCCAGTTTGAGTGAGTGGTTGAGTATAGGAGTCAAAATAAATACAAGTCTCAAGCTTTTACATTGTATTGGGGTGGAAATGGGTGTTGGGGAGAGGATGTCAGGAGTGAGGTCAGGAAATGGGCACATCTTGTATTTAGTTTTGAATGTTTGTTCAATTTGCCATACCTTTACCAGCCAAAGAAATGGAGTTATTTAGTGATTTTTTTCCCTTAACCTCTTTGGTTTGTTGATACCCAAAGAGCTGAGTGCCTAGCCAGGATCAAAACCAGGTTTTAGGGTTGAGGACACTGCTAAGTGAGTACATTGCTAGCCACACAAGAGTGGGGACTGGAGTTCGGCGCCAAATAAACACCAAGTAGTAATCCCACCATAAATCTCAGCATGTGAGTGGCTGAGACAGAGGATCCCCAGGGCAAGCTAGGCAGCTGGACTAGCGGTTCAACGAGTTCTGGGTTCAACGAGAGGCCCTGTCTCAATATATAAGGTGGATAATGATTGTCAGAAGTTGTTGAAAGATATCTAATGTATTCATTTACCCTGATTAGCTTTAACTTTTGCACACACACAGACACACACACACACACACACACACACACACACACACACACAAACACACAAAATTAACAGGCAAGATTTAAATATTATTTAGGACACTAAAATAGATCAGGTAACGTCTTTATCATTGAAATAACTGTAAAGAAGAATAACTACTGTACTTATACTTACTGTAATTACACTAATAAACACAATTTAGTGAGTATCTACAATGGGTTAGGTGCCTAAGCATTTTATAAATGAATTCTAAATGTTTCAATTGTGTTAACCTGACTTTGCATTACGGGAGAAAGAGAGAACCAATAGATCCTTTCAAAGAGTTTCACAGACTTACAAAATATAAAAATACATATACCAATACTTCTTAAAAACTGCAACTTCAAAATACAAGATAAGTTAAGTTATAAGAAAAGAAAACACTCTCACTTCAGAAGCCTATGCCAGCACTAAGTTGACTTCATGGATTCCACATGTCATTTTCATAATTTCTTCAATTCAGTTTCATTTCAGGTCTTACTTCAGATGACTCATCAATTCCTTTCACATGCCCAATTTCCCAATAATTTATAATACTAATGAAAAAGAAAAAGTCTGAATATATATGTTTCATGAAATGCTTGTGAAACTGCTAGCTTGTTCTGTTGTAATTGTTAGCTACAATTTTTTATTATATCTTTTGTGTTCTAGAGTTGGGTTCAATTAGCACACTCTAGCCTACAGACCAGATCTGCCCTGCTGCCTGTTTTAGTAAGGAAAGCTCTTTGGAACATTAGTTAACATGCCCATTCACTTAGAACTGATAGAAAGGCCATTTTCCCATCAAAAAGGAAGAATTGAATAATTGCCACACAGTATAATCCTACAAAACCAAAAGTATTTACTGTTTATTTTATAACTTCCCATTTCAGACAAATCTGACTTAATTTCCTTGAGCAATTCATATCGTTGAGGTTTTTGTGAGATTATGGAGGTGTCAACTTCCTAAGATAGTGTATCAAGCAACTATCTCTAAGCCTTTGTCATCCCTTACTTTAAAGGTCACAGCAAGTGGGTAAAGCTGTGGTATCAGAGTAACAGGGTTTGATCTGTTTCCAGCCTACAGTTCCTCTAGGACATAGAAGGATAAGAAATACAAAACAGTTTGCAAGGAAATTGTTTTCTGATACAAAGTCTCATAGTATGTGTTATTATTTCATACACTTTTAAATTTTATTAAAAATGAGTGAGTAAACGAGATTTAATTGACTTTTAAAAATATTCAGTGATTGTGGTGCGTCACCTGTCCTCTTGATCAAGGAGGCCAAGGAGACCCCATGAGATGGACTTGAACCAGGGCCAGTCTGCAAAGAGGAGGGTCAACACAGAGGAATCATTTCCTCCATGCTTCTAAGTGAAGCCAACCATGGCCGAGCAGGACCTTTGACTTATCTTTGCATAGGTGGAACTGGTAAAAGAAAGGAGCCAGGGCCTCCTCCCAAGCCCATGTGACCCCTGAGGAACAAATCCTTAAATGACCTTAAGAGTAAAAATAAATTGGTTTATCTGGGCCAACTGTATGGCCCTAAACACCCAAAAGGAAAGTATAACCAAAGATTAAAGGGGCCAATATAATTTTTTAAGAGTCCATATGCATAGCTAAAGGCTACATAACAAGCAACAATGCCAGA